AATATATATATACATGGTGAAATGATTACTGCAGTTAATCAATTGACATATTCATTTCCCATATCACCACATGTGTGTGTGTGTGTGCATGTGTRTGTGTTAACCAGACCTTGAATCTACTCTCAGCCAATGGGCAAACACCAAATCCACCAGAGGCACCCTTAGAAATACTCAGAAAAAGCAGAAAAGATGCAAATATTTATGACATACCTCCAGGGAGCAGTTCCCAGGCAGCAGGAAAGACAGGAGCAAGCAAAAAGTCCCCAATGTCTCCTCACAGCCCAAGTGTAGCTTGGTATGCRCACAGACCCCCAAGGACAGGAAGTACAGGACTGGGCTGGGAGTGTCCGGTGCAGACACAGCCCTCTGCGTTCAGGTTCTGAAGCACAGGGATGGTGGGCCTCAAGCATATGCGGCGATAAGTAGCTTCCCTCTCCCACATTGACAAGTGAGAGATTTCCTGGTCTCCTGACCTTTTATCTGTGGGTTATTATATATGACCATTGGGTATGTGAAGCCTATTAGCTAAATGGAGAAAAAAATGAGCATAATTTCCTGGGTCAGAGGAGGGGAGTGTGAGGTATTTAATGCCTTCTGTACGGAAGAGGAGAATATTAGCCTGTAAAATCCGAGTAGGAGGCCTGAGAAGACCCTGGGGAGGATTGCTGCAGCAAGAGCCTGGACTGGCCACCAGGTACTGGGCTCCAGTACCTTCCAGCAGCTTCGTAGCAGGGGAGGGTAATCCTATGAGGTGGAGCTCGGCTCGCACCTTCTCCCAGGGCCTGAGGTGGTACTGCAGGAGGATTATAGGTGTCTATGCTTCTCCCACTGCACCCAAGTGGCCCAAAAAGAAAAGACTAGGTTTTTGCTTCCTATGCACTGGTGCTCAGCAGATTCTGGCTAGTGTTTATGAGAACAAATGTCTGCCTCACCGGTCAAGACAGAGACAGGGGCTTTGCTGTGTGAGAAGCCAGTGCTGCTCCCCCCTTGGCCATGTAGGAGGGAGTGGGAGGCTTTCCAGGTGGTAGACCATGATCTCCAACCCAGCACACCAGAGACGAGGGGACGGCTCACCCGTCTTTCTGGGGTATACTGGAATTTCTGGAAAAAAATGATGGAGAATTCCAGCAAACAAATAAACAGGGAGAGAACAAAAGGAAACAAATGAGAAGTATCTACCTCGCCACTCCCCTGCTCCTATCAAAAAAGACTGTCTCCTGTGGCAGTCATGCTTGTTCACCTTACAGGAAAACACTATTAAAATCCTCATTCATGACCACCCACAGCCTCATAGGCATAAATGACTAAGGAATCATTTGCTCTCTCACCTGCTGGACCCAGACCCTGTGGAGCAGTCACTGAGCCTCCTCACATCCCGAGTCTCCCAGGACAGAGACCAGAGCCCAGGCCCCAGCTGGCTTTGCTGTGCTCACTGGGATCCAGAGTCCAGTTAGAACATATGGGCTAAGGTGTGCGGGCATGTAGGAAAGTGCATGTGGGCCCATGGAAAGGATGCAAATCTCTCTAAACAGGGGTGCTACCACCTTGGAGACTCTAGCTAGTKTCTAGGTGGAGACCAGAGTCTGCACCCTCCATGGGTTGTTATTAATTACTAAGACAGGGCTCCCACCCCACAGTGATTTGTGCCATGGAAATCCTCAATTATAGCTATCATAGAATGTCGAAAGCTTAGGGGAAAAGCATTGTGCTGTGAGCTCCCTTTCTCTAAGATACAACAGAGGTCATCTGATATGCTGGCCACTTTAATCACACTAACAGTCTTACTCAATCCCCACATTGTAAGAAATCAATAAGAAATTAGAGCACTCCAAGCAAGTTCCAGGCAATCTAGTGTGGGGGTTTGGGAATTGTATTGTTTGTTCCTTTTTCCATTTGTAAGTTCAGTTTGGAAAATCACAACAGCTAATCTGATCTGCTCCCCTTTGGCTTGAAATACCCTTAATGGTAGACTTCCTTGCTGAGTACATGTATACCCAAAGTGCATAATGACGAACAAAAATGGTCAAGGTTCAGTGCTTGCTATTTATTCCTACTGAAATGGATTGTAAATGAAATGTTATACACCTACAACTATAAAGTTCTCAGATGCACACTTTTGAGTAAAATAACCTCCCCAAATTTACTGGTTTTTAGAAGCAAATTGAGAGTAACAGAAGCATTCACAATTCAGAAAATTAAACCAACAAGTTGAAATCACTTTCAAAGCAGAGCCTAGCGCCTCCTACTGGCACAACCTCCTTATAGAGACCTGTGAGACTTATGGCTGTGTGATAAATAGCTTAACCTGACTAAGAGGAGGCAGCACACTCCGAAAAGAACAYGCTCACCTGTCAGCATAGCTCTCAAAGTCACCTGATTTTCAAAGGCATCTTTTGTACCTGGGAAATTGTACTTCTTTCTTTATTATCCTCCAACAACAATGTCACAAACCAAGAGGTGGGGAGCACCTGTGCKTCAGCAGGTCTCAGCCTGACAGCTTTCAGGCCGCTTGAGGGAAATCTGTCCACATGTAAACATCCAGGTCCCCAGCGCCTGTGGTTAAGCTATGGGTTAGCTATAAAAATTACCCTCAGTTTCCACTTGCTTAATGAGAAAAATYTCATTCACAACCTGCCGCAGAGACAAGACCTCCCAGTCCCTGAGAACACATCTAAAGGGCATAAATGAAAATGTGTCTGTGGTCCTGCCTGACCAGGTCAGCTCACCTGGTCACAAGGGATGCAGACTGTGACCTCAACTTTCTCGTGATCTTCCAAAGAGCCCCAAAAGGGGTGTCACTATTCAATGGCCAAGATAACGAGGGAAACTACTTGGTCCATAAAAATCAACTTTGTAGCCACAGCACAGATGAGGGCAACCTGTGACTCCTAGGATTGAATCATATCAGCCAATTACTAAGCTGAGTTTTCCCACCTGTAAGGTGGTGATTCTACTACCCAACCCCAAAGCTGATGTGGGAAGAAGAAACATAGCAAAGTCTGGAATAAAAGAAAACAGGATGACTCACTACCAGAATTCCCAGGGTATTTTACAGCAAACTTGAGTTTAGCATTTCAGAGGCATACTCCCCAATGAAGGGCACCAGGCCCTCAGGAGGTGATCTGGTAATTCACAAGTGAGATTTTTCTAAACAAAACAGCTTTATCAGGAAACAGTGGCCCAAGATGGCTAGTCCAGAAAAATTAAATGATCTCTAAATTCATCCATAACCTGCAGTTAACAAGTAATTATTTTGCTAAATTTACTTCAGATAATGTTTTGCAGAAAGAATGAAATATTACAGATACAAATAAGGGCACCCCCTAGCCTCTAATCCCATCTCCCTCCCTTCTTTCCCAGGGGGAAGTTTGACTGTACCTTTATTATACAGGTGTCTGCAGCTTTACCACACAGATGTGATTACATGAGCAATAGATAAAGTTGGTGTTCTTCTCATTCATATTTATGATATCCTACTCTGGATTGTTTTGCAAGCTGATTTTGTCACCTAACATTTATTTCTGAGATTTATCTGTATTGAGGCATATAGATATAGTCTATCAGATATAATTGCTATACATTTTTCTGTAATATAATTATACTACAATTTATTGCTATTCCTTTAACTGTGGGAACTTAAGGCATTTTCTAAGTTTTCAATTTCGCAACAATACACTGCAATGAACATCTCTGGAAAGGATGCTAATCTCTCTAAGCAGGGTGCTTCCATGCATGAAAGCTTCTGTCAGGTGCATCCCAGCAGCAGAATCACTGAGTAGGGTATGGACCCCATGCTCTTCATTGACTGCTCCCACAATGCCCTCCAAAGAAGTTRTGCTTGTGCTCTCTGCCACTGACCCATAGGTGCATACTCCAGCATTGTTAGTCTATTTTCAATATTTGCCTAGCTGGATAATATGGCAAGAATATCAGGGGCACAAGTCCAGGCAGCAATCAGGGTCCCTGCTGTCACCACCAACCTGGCTGCCTAGAGCATCCCCAACTGTCCATTCAGACCCATGGTTCCCACCCCATCACATGGACACATTGACTTTTTGTCTAATGCCAGTGCAGTTCCCAGGGGATGACAGACTTGGTGTGTGTGCTGAGTTTTCAGAAACCCCAGGCAATTCCAGTAGTAACAAGCCATGTACCTGTGGCCCTAGATAAAGCCCGTGGGTTGTTCCTCCAGGATGAAGCTGGGAAACACTTTTTTGGAAGACCAAGTAGTAAATAGCTCATACTCAGAGTCATGTGATCCCTGTCACAACTCAGCTCTGTTGTTTTTACTTGTAAATAGACGGTGTGCCTTTTGCCCACAAAATGATCTACCAAAACAGGTGGTTTGCTGTGTGCCTCCACTTGGTTGGCTCCTAGCCATCCCCTCCACCTGAGGCCTCAGGAGACCCCAGCCTTTCTCACCTCCCATGTGAATTAGGGACTGAATATTGCAGAGCATGTCACCAGCAGAGCCCTCTTCCTGGGGTGCTGGGGGTATCATAGGCATCAGGCACTGATCCTGGAGACCCTGAGAGCAAGTGGGAAGGGAAGGGTCTCCTTGTTGTAGGAAAGGCTTTTGATGTTGCCAGGAAGGGCCCTGTGTCTTTTTCATTCTGGGGAGGCACTGGCAGACAGGAGGGAGGGTACAGGGGCAATGACATCACAAACCGCCTTTGGAGCAACTGGTGGGGAGCCATGAGCACGACATGCTCCTTCTCACTTCCCTCTCTCTGCTTCTTCTCAAACTCAGCTCTGAAGTCCCCCAAGGATGTGGGTCCTTCCTTCCATGGGCACCTGGTTCCCACAGGTGAACTCATTCCTCACACTCAGCATAGGCCATTCCTTAGAGCACACTTCATAGGCCCTGCTTAGGGTACTGATGGCAAGAACTTCATAGGAATGGACTTCAAGTTTCACAACATAGTCATTAGTAATAGTATCTATCACAAGTGGCGACCTGCCAGAGCCCTGGGTCATGACTAATTTGTTCTCACCTCCAGGTACCAGCAGCACTGAAGTGAAGGAAAACCGCAATGTGAGCAACCTGGGAACCAGGCCCCTGCCACCAGGGGACCGGGCCAGAGGAAGCACACCCAGCATAAAAAGGAAAAGACCCCTGGAAGAAGGGAACGGGGGYCACTTCTGCAAACTCCAGCTGATCTGGAAGAAGCTCTCATGGTCCATGACACCCAAGAACGCCCTGGTCCAGCTGCACGAGCTGAAGCCAGGCCTGCAGTACCGGATGGTGTCCCAGACAGGCCCGGTGCATGCCCCGGTCTTTGCAGTGGCTGTGGAAGTAAATGGACTCACGTTTGAGGGCACAGGGCCCACCAAGAAGAAGGCCAAGATGCGGGCAGCAGAGCTGGCACTGAAGTCCTTCGTGCAGTTCCCCAATGCTTGCCAGGCCCACCTGGCCATGGGCAGCGGCACAAGCCCATGCACAGACTTCACCTCTGACCAGGCCGACTTCCCAGACACGCTGTTCAAGGAGTTTGAGCCATCAGCACCCAGCGAGGACTTCCCAAACTGCCGCCCTGTGGACACCGAGCTGCTCTCCACAGCCTACCGGCAAGGGCGGCTACTCTGCCACACTCTGGACCTCATGGGCCAGGCCCGGCCGGACAGGGCCAGACCAGCCCCCGCAGCCCTGGGTGAGAGGAACCCAGTGGTAGTGCTGAACGAGCTGCGCTCTGGCCTGCGGTACGTGTGCCTCTCAGAGGTGGCGGAGAAGCCTCGCACCAAGAGCTTTGTCATGGCCGTGTGCGTGGACGGGAGGACGTTCGAAGGCTCAGGACGCAGCAAGAAGCTGGCCAAGGGCCAGGCCGCACAGGCCGCCCTGCAGGCCCTCTTCGACATCCGGCTTCCTGGCCACACCCCCAGCAGGAGTAAAAGTAACCTCTTGCCACAGGTGAGATTTCTCAGGTAGCTGCCTGCAGGTGGAAGGATGCTGGGATGGATGTAGCTGGGGCTCCTTGCCATGATGGGGGAGTGGGCAGGCCCCTCTCCTCCTGTGGCTGTGAGCAGAGTGCATCCCTGAGTTCTGGCTGTCCTAAAAAGTCTCCCCTTCCTAACCTTATTGAGAGCAATTTCCAGGCTTTTTGGAGAGAGAGAGAATCATGAGAATAAAGGAAATAAACAAAGGAATAAATAGAGGAACAAGAATGTCAACGCTCCAACTTAGCAGAGGTGATGACGGAATTCATGAAGCCAGGTGATTTTTACCATGATGACACCACATGCCAGGGAGAAAGGGCAGCCAGTGTGGAGGGATTGATTGTCGGGACCCTTCTCTCCCCACTGAGAGGGTCACACCACAGGAAGGGCAGGCTTTGTTTGCCAGGCCTCTCAGTAACTCAGGAGGCAGCTGAAAAGAGCAGGAGTAACATAGGTGAGTTGTGTGGGCATCTGGTTGAGTTCCTAGCCAGGGAGGCTGGAGAGACTAAGCAGGTGGGGATTGTCCGGTTGGAGGCCAGTGCCTCTGGGGCCCTAGATGCATGCCAGGTGGGGGCTCCTCCCTAGGACACTGGTGGAGTCTCAGGGTCAGAGGGCAAATATGTGCTGGAAGGCAGAGGTCGGTGGAAATGAAAATTAACAACTGGAGTCTTGCTTTACTCCGCCAACACCATCATTTCCCTGGCCTCTGCATGCACGATCATGGGTCTGCTTTCCTACATGAGCTTACTGTCACCCATTAAAGAACCATTTTTAGCATGGCCTGTGTGGCAGGAACTATTCTCATACCATTTTAAAACAGCCTTATTCTGCCAAGTCTTGTAATTGCTTATTTATGCAAATTATCTTKTTTCTTATCATTGTGAGAATTATTTGTGGGCATCACTAATGTAGTAGATACAGAAAAATTATCTTTATTCATTTTGGGCATCAATCAAGGAAAGAAACACTTTACATAGTTAAAAGGCACTTAGCCTGGTACGGGATTCATCATAAGTACTTGATAATTGTAAGTTATTTCTGTGATCGYCACCATCACTGCATCACAACACCTAGAAAGGAATCCATTATTTTGTGGTGGGAGATCACGAATCTGTTAAATAAAGCTGGGTACCACCAAAACCTCAGCTACTTGTTCAWACTGCATGCAGACACAAAGTGCATAAAGGACTCCCACACACGGAGTCCAAGCTGAGTAGAGCACTGACTTATTTATTCACTCCATATTTATTTGATTCTGAGCAGACAGGGGATAGACAATGGGCAAAGCAAGTGTTCTGCTTCTCACAAAGCCCGGACAAGAGAAGAGAGAGAYTAAATAAATGAGGTACTCAGATGGAGAGAGGACTCCTTCTCCTCCCACCTCTACCTCCTGTTCATTCACTTAAGTTCGAATATTTATTAAAACCTGATGATTATKCGAGGCTGCAGGTGGGAGGGGTTTAGACCATAATCTCCATAATCTAGCCTTTAGACCTCACCATCAAATAAATACACAATCCAAGTGAAAACAGGSAACTACAAAAGCAAGAACAGCTTCCAGACAGGTCCCGACACATCTCCCAGTGGGCTTTTCTGGGACTTGACCTTCTCCTTTCTTTTGCCTACATCTTAKTTATTTTCTCTCTTTTTCCTTTCTGTTCTGTTTCTCTATTATCCATCCTCTGAACTTGCCAAAACAGCCATGAACGTGCTTTACCCCTGCTGCCTGGGGAAGGGCTGAGCAGGGCAACTTGTCCCTCCCTGAGGCTGCACATGACCTTTGGCAYGACCTTGGTCAGGGAGTGTCTCTTGCCACCTTCTCGGAGAGGTCTCCACCAGTGTTCTGTGCCCCCCCTTTCACTGCTATTTTACTCTCATCCAACCTGATACTGCTATAGCAAGACCCTGGCACCCTGCCGGGGGCTCTCAGCCAGGCTGAGATTCCTCCATCTAGTAGGAAATGTCCTCTGCCTCCCCCACCCCTCTCTGCAGCTTCCCACCCTGAGAAATTGAAGGATGTCAGTGAATTCTGGGTATGATGCCTCCTTCTTTTATGTTGTCAGCCCTGAGCTCTCACGATGGAGAAACCAGGCAGCGCTACCACTTTGTAATAGTCATTTGACCCCAGAATGCAGCACATCAGTTAAAGCCACGGCTGCTAAATTATTTTTCTCTGACAGTCTGCTAACCACTCCGACTGGATGATGAAGGGCGCAGAGCGGCGTGAGGGTTGCAGGCCATTCATCACACCATGGCATGCCGCCATGCAGGGGGGCTTGTTATCCTCCCTCTCAGCCCCCTTGAGATGTGCACCCCTCAACTGGGTGGGGGCCAGTTTTGACCAAGAGTCTCAGGACAGCGAATCCCAAGCAGTTTGAATTAAAACCTTGTCCAATGGAGTCTGGGTTCAGGGGCGGGGGGGAAATCAAAAGAAAAGATTTCAAGAATCACTGTAAATGCTGCCTAAACCCCACCACCCCAGGAACTCTGCCTGTGCATCTGCCTGTCTATAAATCATGAACTGCTTGTCAATAGTACATGGAACCTCCATCTATAGGTCATAGAACCATCTATTCACCATGGACCCCCATCTATAGAGCATGGACCATCCACATTCATCTTGCTTCCTGCTCAGCCAGATCCCTGTTCCCAGGGGCAGCATGACTATGGAAGCATGACTCTTACCTTTAAGTCCCTAGAGATATGGCCCTTCATGATCTGTATGCAACTTCTCTCCTAATAACAGCTGTGGGTGGAGCTAACCAAACATCTTCTCAAATCTGTACCCATGCTCTCAGAAAAAGGCAGGCTTGGCCTCCATTGAGCAACRACTCCTCCACTAAAGTCAGCTTTAGGAGCAAGGTTGGAAGAATGCAATTTCTGCAACTTGGGTACTGAAAAACATCAGTATTTAATATTCTTTGCCCAAATATCCACGCTTTGCTACACACAGGCAGTCAGACTGCCAGGACAACAAACCAAAGTGTGTTTCAATGATCCACATGTCACTTCTACAGCTGCCAATAGATGYTGGGTCTGTTTAATGCTTTAACCAATGGCTGGGACTTACCAACAAAGCTTCAAAGCTATCTTAGTAAGAATTCTCCTGTGTAAGTGATAGTCTGTGAAGAGTGTTTCATGTGTGACAGCTCATTAGGAATAGCTAGAGTAGCATGTTTAAGATGCTGCTGGAAGAAACGTAGTGGGTTCTCCAGTGGCATCAGCAGTATRCATTCCAGAAAGTGGAACCTCCTGGTTGTTGGAGAGTCCTCCTGATTCCTAGTTGGAGAACTGCTCTGCCTGGGACTTGTGCACCTTGAGAGTATTAYGGGCTGTTCTCAGCCTCCACCTGGGGTGGTTACACCAAAGAGCAGGTCAGGGTCTTGCTTCCCAGCAAGAACAATTGTAAGACAGCAACACCTGTGCCAACTTACCTCCAAAGCCTGTATGGTGCATCTGTGGGCATGCTCTTAGTCATTGTGCTCATAATCCAGACCTGTWTGCAGTCGGGATTCTGAAACAGTAAGTTCCAAAGCATGATATTCTCAATGAAGTTTTAAATCACAAGTGTGATTTTTCTATAATTGCATCCTCACCCTTTTCTGTACCTGGAGGGTGTGTTGTAGAACCTGGCTGGCCTCACACTCTYAATTTCTTGAGATCTGACTCTTGGYCAGAGTGGATAAGCCAAGTGTCCATTAAATTCTTTAAAGCATGGGGCAGACTTCAATGCTCAAGGTTTACTATGCTGACAGAGTATGCAGGCCAGGGACTCCATAAATATCTGTTGATAACTGCAGTGCCCACCAGGAGATGGCTGGGAGGCTCAGTCCAAATCCTTCATGTTTTCTTTATCTGCAACTAGTACAATATTCCTCTGGGCTAACCAGACACTTGGAAGTAAGAACAAGACCACATGAGAATATAAATACGCATTACCTTGGAAGCATAGTCATGAAAAATGATAAAATCACAAAACCTATTCTCTCTTTGGTCTTCACTTCCCACACCTAGCATGAAAGAGTTGAATTCATAAAAGCATAAATTCAGCAATAAAAGCATATTTTTTAGTATTTCCTTTCCATGAAAACTTGTTAGAAAAGAGAACAAAGTATACTATAGTAATGCTATTTTTTAAAAAAATAAAAATCATCCTGGCACATAGTAACTCTAAAAAAAATAGTTTATTGGGTTAGTTGTAGACTTCTCATTCATCATCAATTAATTATTTCTTTCTTTTTCTTTTTTTAAAATTTCTATGGCAAGATCATTGGTGTTGATATGCCTGCAAAGAAAAGAGTTAGTCAAAGAAACTAAAATACACCTTTCCCTTGGAGTAAGAGAGGGAACACCTTTGAAACTAACTCATACAGATTGGCTGCTGGAATGGAGTCCTTTAAGGTCATTTTAGGGAAAACTATCCTTGTGGCTTCAGTCCTAGCTAAGTCTTCCATTGCACCACATGCTTCCTCAGTACCTTATTCTATGTCCTGCTCTTGGCAGCTATTAATATTAAATGGGGAGAAACAAAACATGGGAATATACAAAATAATTGAAAAGAACCACTTTTTAAGTTTTGAGCATTTTAAAGCACATTTTGATCAGATTGTTGTACATGGTCCCATTTCATGAAGTGTGTTCCTAGAATTATCAGTGGACCTGGGGACAAAGTCTGCGGCCACTCTAGCAACATTTGCACTGCAGGACACAGATAAGCTGTCTGCACCAGGTCTCTGTCCTGCTCCTGAATGCCCGGGTGACCCCCAGCTGCTTTTGACSACTTCGCAGATTATTTTTCTAGTCTCATTCCCTCCATTCTAATTCATCTTCTTTGAAAAAAGCAGCATTTTTACTTTTGGAAAGCAGAACTATTCATTAATATCACCATAACAAATTAGCAATGGAAAGGTCCCCAAAGTTTAAATAGGCTTAAATTAAAAGTGAATAGGTGTGGAAATTACATTTGCTTAGCTT